CTTATGATCATTTTCCACTTTTAAGGAGTTATATAACATGAGCAGCTAATTCCCCAACTAACTTCCTGCATTTCTCTTCTCCTTCCACGTTGTAAACTTTGGTCATGAATATACTCATAGCATACTGTACTACACTGTTTCTGTGCTCCATCCAGGCAGTTGATATAATAGAAACCTTAAATGTCATAAATCCAGCAGTGTTAGAATTTGAATTTTGTATTTTTCCATAAGCTGGCAGGCTAAATGCAACAGGATAAACAAGACAATCTCACTGGTTAAACACAAAGCTCCCCAGTACATGTTCTCCATTTTGCTGGATGTTAGAACTTAGTGAAATTTTCTATGTGATCTTGCAAGAGCAAAAAGATTTCACTGTCAAAGACCACACCCATGAGTCTCAGTTTTGCCTTACTTCCTTTTTTTCTCCAGTAATACTTCTTTCTCTGAGACTATTTATCAAATGTTATGGGTTTAAGTGCACAACTAAACAGTGTAACACCAAAAGGGAAAGTAGGCATGTGATGTTCTCCTCTGAGGTGAACATAGACATGGCACTGCTCAGTGGGCTATACTCAACTGAGTAATCTTAAAGGGGTGTCCTCTCCTCTGAGTAGGAGCAATGTTAGAATCTAAAGATGGGGGAGGAAGGATATACAATTTTAAAATAGTTAATATTAAAAATCTATTACATAAGTTATATAAAGAAGGACTGTGCATAATATTCACAGATGAGGGAACTAGAAGAGAAAGTCTGTAGTCAGCAAGGTGTAAAGGAGGAGTAGGACTGTATGGGAAGGAACACGTATTACAATCCTTTAGGATTTGCGAGATTTTAATGTTTATCAGAAAGGAAATATGGATTTTTAAAGGTTGACAAACAACAATATAAAGGGAAAGGCATTTCTACTTTTGGGATTCCAAATACTTGAGGTTATGAAATCACATTCCAGTAAATGCCACATGATAAATGGTTATGAATAGTAAAACCACTTAAATCTCTCACAGTAACAGTTGATTTGCTGATTCCAAAAATCTTTCTTCAAGCAATAAAAAAAAAAATCCTTTATTTTGAAAGAATCTAAGTCTCTAACTTCTGTCCCTTATAGCAAGTCACTCTCTGGCAAAATTATTACCTGATTGGGTTGTTTTGCTGTTCAGTAGAACAATTCTCCACACTTCATTCTACTGCAAATATTTCAAAGACTCCCATAACTTCAACTTGCTAAGTAACCATCAAAATGGAACTCATATTAATTTTCTTTGTCTACTCAATTTCCAGTAATTCCTTACTGCAATGACTTAAAATACTTTAATTTCAATGTTAGCAACCTATCTTCAGTAGACCCTTCTTTTTGCAAAGAAAAAGTATTGGTGTTAAATAAAAGCTATTATAGATCACTAGTACTCAAACTGTTTACTCTCATAACTTACTACTAATAATTACCATTTATAGAGAATATATCTCTGAAGGTAAAAAGTTACAGTCCAGGAAATTTTCCATGAGACAAACAATTGCCATCGTTTACTTCCCAAACTCTTTTCCTTAAGAAAAATAAGTCCCTTTAAAAATTTTTTCTTGGTTGCACAGCAATGTGAATGCACTTAACATTATTGAACCATATACTTTAAAAAGGTTAAGATGGTAAATTTTATGTTGTGTGAATTTTACCACAATTTAAAAAGCTTTTACAGATTAGGAATTGGAAAATGTGACACATGTACTACATAGGTCCCAAAGGCTGTTTTCAGTTGCAGAGGGCTTGGTACCAGTTAACCCTCAACTTATTTGAACAGTGGCCAAATACTGCACTTAGTTCAAAAGACTTCGAAAATTAATTAACCACTCACTGAAAAGGTAGTTCATTTCATATTCTGTTATCCCTTCCTGAAGGTAAACATAATCTTGGTTCTGAACTATAAAGATATTTTTGTTACATATCTAAATAATAGCCTCCTCTTTCCCTGTGTTTATGATTCAAAACCATGGCAGCAAGCATAGGAGATAGCAGGTGGGAAATGGCAGCCACAGCATAAATCCTACAGGAAATAGAAACTAAAACTAGGCTTTACATAACTGAACACAAACGAACTTCAATTAAACGGTAATATTTTATGCTTATAAGGTGTTAGAAAACAAAAAGGATAAATTGTAACAGTCAATCAGCTAATGCATAGCATCGAAATAGCAAAGCTTTATGTCAACAGGCTATTTTTATTTACCATTTGCTTTTGGACAACGGGTATGGTTTTAAAAAACATGCAGTCTTTCTTCATCATAGGGCAAGTCCCCAATTATTTTTGCTATAAGAGCCCATAAATGGAAATATAATACCCAAGCATTCACATAATGCCTCCATCCTACTGTAAATAACACTTGAGCGTCTGTAGGTATCCTCCACAGTTCACAGATACAAACTGCTAAACTACATTACCTGTCTCAGGTCATATTCTCGAAGGTGATCAAAAAGCATTTGCAATAATCATTTATAAAAGTCTATCAAAGATTACTTACACTATTATCTATGTATTAACAGTAAACCATTAGTCAAGTAAAAAGGTGGGCTTTTGTTAGATGACAGCACTGCTCCATGTGCGGGCACATACCATGCACATACCTGAACCGTGCTAATGTTTTTCACTTCATGTTAAATAAGTATAAGCATGTTAAGCTTGTATATTTTTTCACCCACTCATTTTGAAACCCTCTGTAGGATTTGGCTACAGTAAAATGTCAGCTTGGTTATTACCTTTAAAGTAAGAAATTTCCCGGCAAAATTGGGAAACTAATGACAACAAAGTGAAACTGATACTTCACCAGTTGAGTTTCACTCTTGGTTTCTTTCAGGGCATAGACAGAACTTGCCCATGTAGAAGCAATACCCTTGCTTCTGTAACATAACTGGAGAAGGGAAGAGAAAGAACAGCAAGACATTTTACTTAACAGCCTCAGCCTACCTACAGCATTTTTCCTTGCCCATGAAAAAAAAGTTGTGTGTAGGGGGTAAATAACCAGCATCAGTACAGCAGGTGCTCTTAGTTCTTGATATTACTGGTGTCCCAGACTCTTTCATTCAATTGTATTTACACAAAGGAGTTTTTGTTTGTTCTGAACCATTTTGCTGAGGATTGTTGCTGTCTTAAGAACAATATCAGACCCAGATGGTTTCATGAGTGAATTCTTTCAGATCTTCAAAGAACAGAGTTCTTAGGCTATTTAAACTACATCAGAGCAGAGGAAGAGGAACTCTGCCCAGTTCTTTTTAGGAATCAGCACAACCTTGGTATCAAAACCTAGCAAAAGTAACAGAAAAAGGTGACTATGAAATGAATCTCAATTATTGATTTTAAATAAAAATGTTACCAAAGGAACCAATATATACTTAAATATTATACCATGACCATGTGTAAGATTGGTTCACAAACTGGAAATATACTAAAATAATTCACTATCCTATTAGGTCAAAGATGAAAAGTACTTATAAAAGGTTATGATGGATGTCAAAAAGTCATTTGACAAAATCCAACTTCCATTCCTGATAAAAATGTTAAGAAGTAATGAAGAGACATTATCTTAACACAACAAGAAATATATATACACACCAAATGAACACCCAATATCTATTATTTAAAATTGTTCTCAAAGTGCTATCTAATACAATAGACACTCCCCAATCCCCAGTTGCAAAAATGACTTTGGATACAATCCAAACATTTCTCTGTAAAAATCATGAGCTAGAAATATTAAAGGAAACTTCCCTAATAGAATTTATTAGAAATTAATAGTAACTTCATATTTAATGATGACATAGTAAAAAATCCCCAAACTAAGAAGATAAAGGATGGTCAGAACCACTGTTATTATTTACCACTATTCTGGGGAAGCCAGCAATTCACTAAAGCAAAGAAAGAAAGATATAAGATAATTATAATTAGATGATTGTTTTCCTAGAAAATTCAAGTGAAACAATTTATTAAAACTAATAAATTTAGAAAGTTGGCCAGATACATAAACACTCATCTACATACCAGTCACAAAATATAAGAAAATGGTTACATCCCCAACAGAGTATTTTAATGAAGCATGAACAGTTTATGTTAAATTTTATCTCAAAGATAATGCAATTACATTCAAGAAAATTTTGAAAAGGAAAAATGAAGAGGGACTTGTCCTATGAATTACTAGAAAATGTAATATCAAAGCAGATTGGTATTTTTAAAGGAAGAGACAAAAAGATCAAACAGATGAGTCTAAAGAAAAGATGCATGCACACATAAGAATTTACTATATTAAGGAGGTATTTCTAGTCAGTCGGGAGAGAAATGATTTCAACAAATGATTTCAGGAAAAATAGCTGCCCAGTCACAAAAACAAAGAAAAAAAAAATCCTTATCTTAGTATACAAAAATCATTTTCGGATGTTTTAATGAGTAAATCATAAAAAGAGAATTAACAGGCAATATAGGAGAAGATTTTAAGAATTTTTGACTGGGGACTACCTTCTCACTTGAGACAAAAAGCCTGCGCATTTTAAACCAAAGCATTGATAATTCTTGAAAATATTTGCCATATATTTCACAAAGAATTAATGAAATCTGTATTCTAATGATAAATAGATAATTTTGAAGAATATTGGGCAAGATATACGGACAGGACATAGTAAGTGATAGTTAATTATAATTTGGTACATCTACACAATGCAATACCACGCCAACATTACAATAAAATAGAGCTACATATGGCAAGACTTTCACCATATATATATATTTAATCTGAAACAGATTATAGAACAGTATGCATAATCTCATTTTCATAAGAAAGCAAAATAACATGATTATGCACATACAGGAAAGATGTGGAAGGCTTGGATTACAATTGGGGAGAGGACTGAGAAGGGTTTCACTTCCTGCTTTACACAAAGTTGTATTATTTGAGGATCCCTCTTCTCTCAAATGAGGACACAATAATTTTTAACAGAATACACTGCTTGCTTCTCTGCTACCTCTCGTTTGTGTATTCCAACCGCGGTAAGGAGGCAGGTCATTTCCTTTTCCTTCAATTTCACGTGGCTTCTTCACTTCCTTTACTACCATCTCTCCCTTATTATAACTTGTCAAAAGCATGTCCTGTGAGGTGAGATAAACACCACTTTACATAGCAAGGCTGCTTTACTTTTGCTCGTTATAGCATAATAAAAGCACAGCTCTTCTCTGATTATCCTCCCCCTCTTTCTACTTCTTGACAAGCACAGCTTTTTTGCCTGTAACTCGTTGCTAGTCAGTTTTTACCGGCGTGGGGACTCTACCTAATGCCTGGGTTCCCACTGTGGGCGGAGTTGGCTTCTGTTCTTCTTGCCTTGACCACCCACTCCCTCCGTGACCCTCTGGGAAGTTACCCAACTTCTCATTGACCAGGCTATGATGACACACCACAGGAAGGCAGAGGGGAATTGTGCAACCACCTTGGGAAAACAACAGAAAGAACCAATTAAGTTTTCGAAAGAATACTACTTGATTCTAGGAGGCAGTCCCTCTCTCGAAGGGAAGTCAGGGATGTTCCTGGCGGGTCCACTGCTCACCTCGACACCGCAGGCCCTGCCACCCCCATTTCCCGGGCAAAGCAGCCGGGACGAGTCCCTCCCCTGAAGCCGCTGGGGCAGGGGCCGACGATGCTATGCTGACATCGCGGGCCCGGAAACTCCCCGCCAAGGAGTCCGCTCCGGGGGAAGAACTCGCGTGGTCTCTCCCGCAAAAAATCCCTCCCCAAACTGCAAATTGTTTTGTCTCTGCTGCTCCTCGGCTTCTCTCCCTGCGGCGCCCCTACTGGCAGCGCGTTCCTCTCGCTTACGCAGACAAATTCTCCGACGCGGTGCTTGATGGATTCGGACACACCATTTCACAAAGTTTCTTACTCACACAGTTCACGGTTTCGGCTACGCTCCCTCTCCCGTCAGGTCGCCGGCGCCTGGCCGAGTGCCTCCAACCGGAAGTTGCTTTTTGTTCCAGTTCAGAGGGCAGTGCCTGAGCGCGGAGCCATTAACTCTTCACCTTCCACCCGACAAGGCCAGGGCCCTTCCGCCCTGCCCTGCCCTGCCCTGCCCTGCCCTGCCCTGCCCAGCCCTGCCCAGCCCAGCCCAGGGCTATTCTTCCCCGCCCCTCCCCGCCCCGCCCAGCGCCTTCCCGTCCCGCCCCGCCCAGCCAACTCCCCGCCTCTTAGAAAAAAAAAAAAAAAAAAAAAAAGCGTCAGCCGCGGAAGGGAATCCTATGTCAAGTGTAAAGGTCACTTGCGGGTCTTTGCTGGATTTTTTTGCCAAACGATAAATAACCGGTAAATAAATAACCACTAAATAAATAACATCACCCTATATATGAGTTAGAGTACACAAGAATCACCTGAGAAACCAAATGTAGTTTCGCCAACCGACTCCTACAGTTTTCATTTCAGAGCAACTGGGGTGAAGCCCAGGAACCTGCATTTTCAACAGATCCTCGTAAATGTATATAATTAAAGGTGGTTAAAGTCCACACTCTGAGAAACACTACATTTACACATACCTATTTGGTTTCTCCCCAACTAGTAGTATTTTTCGCTAAATTGTTAAAGAATGACTGCAAATGGAGGTGGAACTTCATTAGAAAATTCCCCATGAATTAAGACTTCCCCATTATTCCAATTCCTAGCCATGCACGAATATTCTCTGAGATTCAAATCTTAGATACCGCAAGCAAGATATCTTTTCCCTTTAGGGCAAGAGGATGAGGTTCTGGCTGCCCCAATTTCTCCCTGTAGTTCTGAATCATGGATGTTTACACATCTTTCCTTAGGCCAGTAAGTCCAAGGATTTAAAAACCTGCCAAGGTGCAGTGCATTCTGTCTAGCTATCTTGAATGTTGCTGTATACTTTTAAAAGTCAAAGTCTAAATATATTTGAAACAATCTTTTTAACAAACAGAAACTTCTTATATATAACGTTTTTACTAGTTGAATAGTTTTATTGTAATAAGTAAGTGAGTTAAACATGACAATAACGGTACTGCTTTAAAAATTATTTAAACCTTTTTTGAGAGCTGTTTTAGATTCACAGCAAAATGGAAAGGAATGTCCAGAGATTTTCCATATACTTTCTGAACCCACACAAGCATAGCCCTTCCCCATTATCAACATCCCTCACCCCAGTGTGATGGAAAAAGCTGTTATAAATATCTGTGTGCAGGTTTTTTTGTGCGGACATAAGTTTTCATCTCCTTTGGATAAATACCAAGTAGTATGATTGCTGGATCATAAGGTAAGAGAATGTTTAGTTTTGTAAGCAATTGCCAAATTGTCTTCCAAAGTGGCTACCATTTTGCATTCCCACCAGGAATGAATAAGAGTTCCCGTTGCTCCAAATCCTTGCCAGCATTTGGTGTTGTAAGTGTTCTGGATTTGGGCCATTCTGATAGATGTGTGTGGTATTTCATTGTTGTTTTAATTTGCATTTCCCTGATGACATATGATGTGGAGGATCTTTTCATATGGCTATTTATTTACCATCTGGTTATCTTCTTTGGGGAGGTAAAGGCCTTTGGCCCATTTTTTAATCAGGTTGTTTTCCAAATGTTGAGTTTTAAGTGTTTTTGTATTTTTTGATAACAGTCCTTTATCAGATATGTCTTTTGCAAAAATTTTCTCCTTGTTTGTGGCTTGTCTTTTTACTCTCTTGACAATATCTTTTGCAAAGCAGAAATTCTTAATTTTGATGAAGTCCAGTTTATTCAGCACTGCTTGAGTGAATTAAATAAGCTGGTTTGAAGATTTCTGATTGAAATAGTGGAATTTAGTAATATACTCAGAATCTAAAGCTGAATGCATAGGCATTTTGAAATACGGAGGTGCTAAAAACTTTGAATAAGGAAATAAGCTAGATATACACATTTCTTAAATATATGTTTTTCTCTTTCCACTTCCATGATGTTGTAGTCTTGAAGAGAAGTGGCTGCATAATTCCCCTATATGTGAAATATGCATAAATGCTGGTAGAATTACTTTCTAAACAATGCTAAAATGGTATCAAACATTTTCCTTTTCCTATAATGATGATTTTTTAAGAATTCACATACAATATGTTTTATGAAGGTTAGAAATTAAGTTGAGATATTTATTTGAGGAATAATCTTTTAAAATAATGACATAATTTTATTAAAATTTTCCTTCACTCATATTATTATATACCTCAAGTTAGTGAGCAGTGATGTAGCATTGGAGGTTGGGTATGGTGGCATGAAAATGGGGAACTGGCCGGGTGTGGTGCTCACACATATAATCCTAACACTTTGGGAGGCCAAGGGCAGAGGATCACTTGAGCTCAGGAATTTCAGACCAGCCTGGGCAACATAGTGAGACCACATCTCTATTTAATAATAATAATCATAATTAATTAATTATTAAAATAAAATGGAGGAATTGCAGGCCTTTGAAAGATATTTTAGAACCTGGATGGGCACAGTGGCTCACGCCTGTCATCCCAGCACTTCGGGAGGCCAACGCGGGCTGATCACTTGAGGTCAGGAGTTTGGGACCAGCCTGGCCAACATGGTGAAAACCCGTTTCTGCTAAAAATACAAAAATTAGCCAGGTGTGGTGGTGCACACCTGTAATCCCAGCTATACAGGAGGCTGAGGCAGGCAGATCACTTGAACCCAGAAGGCAGAGATTTCAGTGAGCCGAGATCATGCCACTGCACTGCAGCCTGGGCAACAGAGAGAGACTGTGTCTCAAAAATATTTTGAATCCTAGTTTTAAAACTGCTTAATAATTTATTGAGAATTCTGAATATAAATCTAAGGACAAAGAAACCTGCCAATATAAACACTTACTACGACTTGAAATGTCAGGTATGTTCTCAGTCAAATCTTTGATGTGAAATATCACTATTAATGGAATCTGGTTGACTTCTGATTTACGATGACATCTGGACTGGCTGTTTATATTGCAGACTCTCCAACTAAAATGCTTATGAAAAATCAGAAAAACTTGAGAACTCAAATGGCCTTGGAACACAGATTGACAATGAGGGCCACTGTGTATGGTTGAGCAGGCTGTGCTCACTTGCAAAGCCTTGCCTCCTTCAGCCTGTGTCTTCTCAGAGAGGTGCTTTTTCTAACTCACAGAAAAGTACCATAAGAGCAGCTATAACCCTATTGACAAGCACCCTAGTTCCAGAATTTGATAGGATATTGCACTTATTGCAAGAAGTGTGAAGCTGAAATGGACATGTACTTTTTTGTTGGAAGGCAAGCAAAGGTGTTGGTATGGAAGGATAGTAAGGAAGCTACCAGCCTCACCACCCCTACTAGTAACTCAACTGTTATGCTTGGTGGCTAAGAAGTATTTTACACCTCTTTGCCCTAATCTCTCCCATTAGCTTCTCTCTGTGTGACCCATTTGGAGCTATGGAGAATACCAGCAATAACCCAAAGGGAGTGGATAGGTGTGATGCTCTGTATCCAAGCTTGGGAAACTAATAATGAAAGGGGTTGGGCAGACAGAACTGGGTGTTTGATTCTCTGGGGGTTTAGTTTTTCATATGTGGTTCTTATGAAGAAAAAGACAAATCATTGTTTCCGATTAACTAGGAATTCTTATCTTTATAGTAAAGTAAGTACCTATTAAAGGTAAAGAATCTTACCTCAGCCAAAGACCTGCAGTGACAAAGTTGATAAATGTCAGCTTCAAGCCAAAAGGTTAGCTGTTGACTGTACATGTCTATATGTCTTCCAGCTCAACATCTATGCTGAAGAACTAATAGCATCAGACAGAAAATGAGAAGAGCCAAGAACCAAAATCCACACATTCAGGTAGTAAGGTTGACACAAGGCTTAGAACAAGTAACTACAAGAGAAAGCACCCCTTGAAAAGATTATGCTGTCTGAAAGAGAGTCTTCAAAATGCAAAGAAAGTGAATACTTTGGAAAATGATTTACTAGAAGCAGAAGTATATGGAGAGAATCTGCTTTGTATTTTCTATGCAAAAAGAGATGAAATATATGATAAGCTATTAGACTAAGATAAGGAGAGAACTAGAGACAAGGTGAAATAAAACCAAAGTTGGATAAGTTAAGGCTGCAAGGACACAGAACAACATGCAATGGCAATTCACATATAATTTGGACATAATCAAAGATGGAATCAGTATTGCAGAATAATAAATCAATGATTAGAGTAAAAGCTTGAAAAACTCTTTCAAAATATGAATGGAAAGTACAAATAGGTGACAACCATTAAAGGAAATGGTAGAAAGATTATGCCCCAGCTTCTTCCTGAAGAAGAGATTAGGGTAAATAGAACAGAGATGGCAACCACAGATATATCAGAAGCTATCTGAAGTAATACTTTGAACCAATACAATACTTCCTAAAAATGAAAAGGACTCAATGTGTTTTGAAATATATTAATGACCTATCTTGTTAAAAATTTCAATATTAAATGCTCTATCAATTCATTAATTTAATCAGTGAATATTTTGGTAATATTTGCTATGTGCTAAGAATTAGGGATAGAAAGATCACTAAGACACAGTCCTACCTTAAAAGAACTGGTGTCTATAGTGGGTGACATACATAGAAGAATCAGGCAATTATTATACAATGTGGTATTATGATTTTACATTAGGGGTAATATATAGTACTCTGAAAACACATTGGAAAGGCCATAGTCCAGTCTTGAGAGGGCAAGGGAAGGCTTCTGGTATCTAAGGTATGAAAAAAGTTCAACAAAAATCCAGGTGGCAAAAAAAAAATTAATTAATTGCAAAAAAAGAAAAACTTATTTTCAGCATTAAACTTCAAAAGCTGAATAGAATAACATCTACAGTTGCCTGGGGAAGATTTGACCTATAGCGTCTGCCTACTCAAGTTATCATTTATTCAAGAAAGGAAAACAAAGACACCTTTGTTTTCTTAGAATATCTGAGAAAAGGTATTCTCAGATACCTCAAGGTTCAAACATCATACCACCCATTTTCTGAAACAATTGAAGATATACTTCCCTTATTCAAGAAGGAGTCAAAATTAAAAACTCAAGAAAGGTGAAATTTTGATATAAAATAAATATTAGAAAACATTTGAAATAA